TGGTATAATACAGGTAGATGGATCAACGCTTGGGAACATTGACATGTCAAAAAAAAAAATTTGAAATGTTTCTTCAAACATAAATAGATTTTTATATGTTTTCTTATACGACGTCATTCGTAGGTTATTTTAAAAAGCGTTTTTTAAATTTTTTACAAATTTAAATAGTTTTTCATTCAACATTTTCAATTCTAAAATTGGTTTGACAGTTCATTGTCCCAGCAGCTGTGTCGATGCGCCTATCTATATTCTTCTACCGTGTATACACCCTTATCGTCTGATATCACCTTTATGGACGAGTTTTATTAAAACAGTTTACTGTAACCCTAAACATATAATGTTCCCACCATGGTAGAATTATGGAATTGACCTCGTACTAACATATGTTTACAATTTTGTTAAAATTATGCATTTCAAATCTAATTGTCAATATGTTTATTCATAAACCTATTGTGGGAATCCATTTCCTGGGTTCACATTAAATAAACAATTAGACCTATTTGACACATGATAACCGACTACACAGGGATCAGATAATCGACTACACAGTGATAAGGTATAGTCGATTTTAACACCCATGGTAAAAAATTAAGAGGGTAAAGTAATTTAAAATAAGCATATCCATCTCTGCATTTTCAGTAATTTACATTGTCACATTTCACTACATAAAAACAAGTTCCCATCTCTTATTTGTGTATATACAATGGATTTATAAATACCAATTTGGACAATGAGATGTCAAATGAATAATTTTTGAAAAAATTGTAAACCTTTGATTGCATGACTTTATCTTCTTGATTCTTCCATACTAACATCAAATACGTTAAAAAAATTATAAAGTTTACATCTCTAAAAAATGTTTGTAATAGAACAAACTTGTGTGTAAACCTAGCCTTAAATTTCCAAATCTATGGCAGCAGCCCATACAATACATCCCCACATCAGTGTTTCTATCCCATTCAAGCTTTTACCATTTCCACTTGTTTGTTTTGCCCTTAAGTTTCCACTTAAATTTCATTAAACACTGATGTTTACACGGTAAACCCTACTTTAAACATCATTCATGTTTGCATAATTTAATGCCATTTTCTAGGTAAGTAATGACGATATGTTTTTTTTTTTTTTTTGGTTTCAAATTTTAGATCACACAAAAGTTACACAATACACATGACACCTAAAATCTAAAAGTGTTTTATTTTCTCTACACTTGACAGATATCAGCTGTTCGTTCTTGCATCATTTCCTCATTGTAAACAATTTGAAAGAAAGCAACAACTGCACTTTGTTTTCATGTTACGCATGAGGTTGAATTAAAACAAATTCGCATCATCGCTATGTGTTCCATTCGGCGCGTCACAATACAAGTCCAACGGACCGTGGCAAACAAATCTTTTGCTGTGAAATTTTTTATACGCAAAACAAAAACGGGTCAATTGAATGAGTGAATTGAAAACGTTTGCTGTTTTTTTTTTCTTTCTTCTGTCTTGTCTTCTTGGTTTCTTTGTTGGAACATTTGCTACATACAATCATACACTTTTTCAATTATGTACTGGTACTTGCCAGTCTGCCAGCCAGCCAGTCAGCTAACTTAATTCGCACAATTGGTACACTGAAATGTTGTAATGTAGATATGTCCATACATATGCACTTATTTATGTTTACACATTGGCATTGACATTGTTCTGCACGTTCGTTCATATTTCACTGTGTTACGTTTTTGCTCTCTGATTTCTGGTTTTCTGTCTGACGTTATTGTAAGACAAGATTTATGCATCAGAGGCATGATCAGAGCGTCCAGAGTCTGCCGAAAAAAAAACTAATATGGTTAGATAACAGTGATTTTTTTTGGCAGACGAATGTTTTTTTTGCAAAATATAAGGTCAAAGATGTCATATCTAGTACAGTCTTTTAAGGATTCATTAAAAAGGCCATGTTAAATAACAGCTGATTCCCACTAAACTGTCACAATTTATTGATATTTTTTATAGAAAGCTTGCCAAAAAAAAAGAAGGGTTAAGGTGTGGATACATAAGCAGCTTGAGCTCTTTGCATTTTTATTTTGTGACATATCATAAACAAATGCCAGAGCCACACTCATGGTAGAAGAATGAAGGTAGACGCATCGACACAGCTGCTGCGTCATTGAACTGTCAAACCAATTTTGGAATTGAAAATTTTGAATGAATAATTTTTTAAATTAGTAAAAATTTTTGAAAAATGCATATCATAACAACCTCCTATTGGTGTCGTATAAGAAAACTTACAAAAATCTATTTATTTTTGAAAGAACATTTAAAATCTTTTGACATATTAATGTTCCCAAGCGTTACCTGTATTATTCTACCATGGCCATTAATATGCCTAGCCGCTTATATATCCTCACCTTTAGTCATTTCAAATGAGCATATCCATCTCTGCCTTCTCAAAATTCATTGCAAGATGTGTTTGTATACAATGGATTTGTATATATAAATTTTGACAATGAGATGTTGTCAAATGAATAATTTTGAAAAAAATTGTAAACATATGAATGCATGACTATAACTTCTTTATTTTACCATGATAAAAAGTGACTAAATATATAAAATTTCCCAAAACGTAACACGTTAAATGTCATTTCATGTAAAGTAGTTGACAGTAGGTATTAAAGGCGTATTTGCACCGACACCTTAATTAGTATGCAGATGCGTCGTATATTTGACTTATAATCAATGGAATTGACAATCTTAATAACCCGTCTTACTAGAACATTTTCAGTATAAATACGACTTTACATCCATTTACAAGGTTGTGCAAAATAATCAGCTGATTTCCCTTGAAGCTGTCATAATTGATAGTAATTTGACAGAATGTTAATAAAATATAAACAAACTTTTTGACAGCTTGATTAGATTTCAAATGCAATGACAGCTTTCTTTTTTCTAGGCCTTGTTTCTTTAAATATCTGTATAAATACGTCTTAACATCCATTCACAAGGTTGTGGAAAATCATCAGCTGATTTCCCTCAAGCTGTCATAATTGATAGTAATTTGACAGAATGTTAATAAAATATAAACAAACTTTTTGACACCTTGATGGGATTTCAAATACAATGACAACTTTCTTTTTTGTAGGCCTTGCTTCTTTAAATGTCTGTAAATGTCATCTTCCATGGTAGAAGAATACAGGTAGATGTATCAACGCTTGGGAACGATGTTTTTTTAAGAAATAAGAAAATTTTATATAAGTTCTCCTTTACTACATCAATTGGAGGTTGTTATAACATGCATTTTTCATAAATTTTTTACAAATTTGAATAATTTTTCATTTAAAAATTACAATTTCAAAATTGGTTTGACAGTTCATTGTCTTAGCAGCTGTGTAGATGCAACTACCTATATTCTTCTACCATGTCATCTTCTCCATAAAACATGTCATCTTTTCTCTCAAAATAATGTGAAAACGCCCGAACTCTATATTTTCAGTTTCATTTTTAAATAAATTTCTATTCCATCTCGTTATTAATTTATTTCAATAGAAAAAAGAAACAAAGTCCAAAAGAACAATTTGCTCGACATGACCTACCCTACCTCATACAAGTTTAAATGGTTCTCGTTTTGATGGCCACAATTAAATTTCCAACTAGAAGCAATGTAAACGCCGTTACTAATTGTAACGATAACGGCTTAGAACGTTTTTTTTTTTGTTTCTGCTGACCCATTCAGGTTTCAATTGAATGTGACAAAACGTAGACAATTGATGAGACTTTTGCGACACAAAAAAAAAACTATGTCTAATATTGTTTAGGGGTACTCTTTTCATTTATGGTGGTCTGTGGGTAGCTGATTTTTGGGAGAAAGGGGGAGTTACGCTTGATGAATATGTTCCCCTTAACATTGTAGGCACATGCCGGAATGACATTGAGAATATATTGATTCACTCAAATGTTAATTCTGCTCCAGAGTACATTGGACCATACAGTGGAAACTCACAAAAGTGAGATTTTCATAGACAGATTAATTCGCAAAGGAACACAATAATATTTTGAAGGTATAGGATCGATAGGTTCCCTTTTCTTGGTTATATGCATGGTAGAATTAAGAAGATAACCAATCATATGAGCTCATCCACAAGGTACCACTGTATAAACATGATGATGCTATACGGATAGTATGACGCCATTAGATTGAAAGCTATGACAACTATTTGGAGAATCAGTAATTTTTTAGTTATAAAAAACTGCGCTTTTCTACGTATTGCCTTTTCTGGGAATACAATATTGATTTGTTTCAGAACCTTCAGTTTTGCAATTTTTTTTCGATATCATAAAGGGAAAGAAGGGTTATTTTAGGGCATGGTATAATAATATGGGTAGATGCATCAACACTTGGGAACATTGATATGTCATAAATGTTTAAATGTTTTGTCAAAAATAAGTTGATTTTTAAATATATTCTCATACGATGCAAATCGGAGGTTGTTATGATATGCATTTTTCGACATTTTTTACAAATTTCAATAATTTTTCATTCAATCATCTTTTCAATTCCAAATTCAGTTTGACAGTTCATTTTCTTAAGAGCTGTGTCAATGCGACTACCTGTATTCTTCTACCATGGCGTAGGGTATGCAAATATAGATTATGGACCTATATTGAACTAAGACGACCTAAAACCCTTGTTTTTTACGAAGAAGCCAGCCAATGACTTACAGCCTGTTCCACGATGTCGAAAGAACACGTTCGCACAACTTTTACACGACAAACAGCTGATTTCCGTTCCACTAAAATCCATCAGAACGAAAATTTGCACGAAAATCAAAGCGAACGAAAACGTAAGCGTTTCAGTGTAATTTTGCGTTCCACTATCTTTTTTCTTTCGTACGCATGCGAACACAAATGTCAAAATCAGTCACTTGTGTGTTTGCTGTCGAATGATAAAAATTAAGGAAAATTGTTTTAACATAAACATTTCTTGATTGAAAATGGAAAGAAAAATGTAAGTAAAAATAATAAATGCAATTTAATCTGTGAACAACAAATATATATTTTTTTATTTTCTCAATTCCAGCACGAAAAAACTACACAGCTGCGGGCAATAGTTGAGTATATGGGGGAGAATCCTAAGTTCGCCAGAGGAGTGCCAATTTTTGGAAGCAGCAGGCAATCCCATGAAGACCACTGGAAGACACAAACCTAGAAAAAATCATTTTTTTATTATTTTAAAAATGTAAAAATACAATCATACTTACTGGTTGTTAGGTACTTCAAATAAATTCGAAGCATCTCTTAAATGCCTCCGTGGCACAATTTGAACCTCCTCCTCATCATCCATAAAAAATATGGCTACAGAAATATTCATTTTTTTTTTTTTTTTAAGAACACAAATAATCTGAACACAATCACTAGAAATTTTATTTTGTTTGTTTATTTACAATTTGTTTGTTTACAGCTGAACTGTCAGTTGAGACAGAGCCACTGCTGCTTTTTCGCGTTTATATTAGACATTTGGCGCTTTTTTTTGCCTTATTTCGCGATTAATTTTGCCAAAAAATATTTTGCAACACTGAATCACGTAATGCTATGCGAAAGAAAGAACGAAAGTTAGTGGAACGCATTCTTATGCGAAAGTGAGTGAGTAGCCTTCGTTCGCACAAATTTTCTTTCGAGATCGTGGAACAGGCTGTTAAGGTGGGAATACATAAAGCCCATATTTGACTGGCTTCTTCGAAAACGAACAAAGGGCCAAAAACGAACTAAGTCAACCTGAAACTCCTATTTTCCTCTACAAAGAAGCCAGCCGATGACTTAAGCCATTCGAAAAAAGCGTTTTATGTATTTTCAGCTTTAAGCCAAGTCCTTTTCTCTATTCTCGCCTTAAAATTAGGGTGACCTAATTTGAATTATGGACGGAAATGAAACTAAGTCAACCTAGAACTTCTTCATTATTTTATAAACAACTCAGCCGATAAATTAACACGGTGTTTACACAAGACAAATTGTCAGAGAATCAGAGATGTATTTTACTACCACATACACACAAGTTCGATTATTATACCTTCAACCAAATGGGTAAAGAGGGTATACAGGGTGAGGTGAAGAGACTGCAACCAAATTCAGACTGCTGCCATTTCTAAGCCACTCGTCCGACAGCTGTTAAAATTATTCCAGTGACAGATCATTATATTGTTTACAAGCGTCCGAAAGCATTTTGGTGAGAATCTTCCAGAAAAAAAATTATTCGTGATGGAATTCAAGCGCGATAGTGTGATTTCTTTATATTTGGCCGGAAAACCGCAAGTGGCTATCGTTAGAGCACTCCAGCATTTAAATGTGAATAAATCGTTTTGTGTCTCTTACCATCACTCTTTATCGTGATACTGGTAGCGTAGCCCGACGTCAAGGAAGTAGGCGGAAGAAAACAGCAACGTCAGCAAAAATTGTTCGAAAAGTAAAGAAGCGAATTGATCGAAATCCGCGTTGCAGTGGCCAAAAAATGGCTCATGAGCTGAACATATCACAATACTTCATTCGGCAAATATTGACAAACAAGCTCGGGGCAAAGCCATTGAAATTCCAAAAAGTACAAGAACTTACACCGCAACAGAAAGAAAATAGACTCAAAAAAGCTAAAGAGTTGCTTCGCTGGGCCGAAAGTGGTGAACTGCCAAATTTGGTTTTCTCCGCCTCCGATGAGAAAACATTCGTTGTCCCGCAGTTTGTAAACAAACAAAATTATCGTGTAATCGGCGCCTGCCAAAGAGGTCAGCTGAAAATGTGCACCTTCGGTTGGCCACCTAGAACTCAAGCGTCGGCCATGGTGATGGTGTGGGCCGCCATAACAGCCGATGGTCGCTCTCCGCTCGTATTAATCGACCGTGGCATCAGAATAAATGTCGAATATTATCGGGAAAATATTCTGGGCACACAAAAAATTTGGCCGCAGACTTTGGACATTCCAACAGGACTCAGCACCATCGCACTCAGCACTCGCCACCCAAGAATGGTTACAAAATGAGTTTCCTCGTTTCATTTCCAGCCCACAATGACCACCAAAATCTCCGGATACCAATCCGTTGGACTATTGTGTCTGGAGTAATTTGGAAAGCCAGGTTGGCACAAAGTGTCGATCACCTGAAGCAAGCGCTTCTCCGAGAATGGGTCAAAATACCGCAGAGCAACATTCGGGCAGCGTGTGACGGCTTCATTGGCGGTTTGAAGGCCATAAATTGTGCCAAAGGTGACCAATTCAAACACATATAAACTTATTCTAAAATTTGATGCTATTTCCGACATTTTTTGCTTTCATTCAATAAAATTTTAAAAAAAAGATGTAAAAATAATGGCGTTTGACTTTGTTGCAGTTTTTTTTATCCCACGCTGTATTTCCACAGAATATTGCCAAAAAAAAAAAAACTAAGTATAGGGTCTTGGGCCCTTCCCCTTTATGTTTTCCTTCTTCCAAAAATAATATAGCATTCCTTTTCAAAATAAATAATAAATGTATTTGTTCTTCTTTAATTATCATTTTAAGTTAAAGATATAAAAAAAATAAATATAAAAAGTTAATAACTAAAAATAAAAATTTACAAACTAAACTGGTACTTTTCTCATTTTTATTCTTTATTTTTTTATTTTTTTCAATTATTTATGTAAATAAATTACTCTCTCTCTCAATCCTCTCTCGCCACAACTTTAACCGTTTCCATTTCAGAATTCTCTTCTTTTTTCACTGGCGCAGCCATGGACTGTTTGAGGCCAACTAATTTTTCACTTTCCTGCCAAAGCCATTCGGCCATTTCAGCATCCTTAGCCTTCGGCAAGACAGGGAATCTCAACATGTTGTAGTAGAAACCCCCCGAAACACATTCCAATTTCGGATCCAACGACAAAAACAATGATGTTTGGGCGCCAGCCTTGGGTGAGCGTATGAATATATCAATAACTCTCTTAATGACATTCCATGTCTTGGGGCAGGAGTTGTAACGCATTAGCTCGGTACGAACAATGCCGGGATGTAAACAATTCACCGTCACCTTGGAGTCTTTCAGGATTTCACTCAATTTGCGGGTAAACAAAATGTTGGCCAGTTTACTCTGCGAATAGGCTCCAAAGAATTTCGAATACGATTTTTCACTCATCAAATCCTGTTTGTTGATGCTACCAAAGATGTAGGCAGCCGAACTGACAACCACCACACGGCTGGGTGCAGCAGCCTTAAGGCGATCCAAGAGCAGGTTTGTCAACAGAAAATGACCCAAATGATTGATGCCCATTTGCTGTTCGAATCCATCGGCGGTGAGTTTGCGCGGTGTGGCCATCACACCAGCATTGTTAACCAAGATATCCAGTTTTTGTTCCTCTGCCTTGAAGCGCTCTGCAAACTGGCGCACCGAGGAGAGTGATGACAGATCTAGAGTGCGATTGAAGACATTGGTGTTTTGTGTCTTCTCAATGATCTCCAGGCGGGCAGCTTCACAGCGAGCAGCATCACGACAGGCCATATAGAGGCGAGCCCCCCTCCTGGCCAATTCCATGGCCGTCTCCTTGCCAATGCCTGTGTTACAGCCCGTAACAATGACAACTTTGCCATCGACCCGATTGGGCTTGCGATAGAATGGACCCTCCACCAAACGTCTGATCAAGTACATGATCAGGCAGGCAACTAAACACCAGAAGACAATTTCAATAATCCAAGCCCAGGCTCCTTCAAAACAGATTTTCTTAATCTCGTCTTGGATTTGTTGTGGATTTTCCACATCCGTCATTGCTGGCTGGCCTTGTTTCCGAATAAGAGACAAATATTGCTAAATGCTTGCTCAAACAAACTTTTTCTTTTGCTTTCGTGTTGGCGTACTGGCTGACCGACCGACCGATTGACTGGCTGGCTAGCTGTTGGAATGTACACTCGCGTAACAATTTGTATTTTCACAAGACCAAGGCGCATGCGCATACCTCCGGACACATGCGAGAAACTTGTTGAATTAACACGATTCGAACACGATTCGGAAACAACAAACAAAAAACTTTCTATAGAAATTTAGTTCGCTTTAGTGGCCCTTGTTTGGTTGCACATCGAATGTTATGCCACTTTAAAGCACGGCGAGTGAGTGGCTGAGTGACTTGTGACAGGCAGGCCGTCAGACAAACGGTGAGTGAGTGAGTGGTCTCTAAACTGGGAATAGCTATGTGGAGTTTGCCCAAAAATAATAATACAAAAACTGAGCGTTGTGTTCGGAAGACACCTCGAATAGCTTTAAAAGACGACGGACGCGCCAACAACAAGCGTTCACTCTTGTACACTGATCCACACTAACTTGCTGAGATTTTGGTTAATACCTGTCTAGGCCAAGTCGTCCAAAGACGTACTTATGTTGTTGCCAGTTTTTCTTTCTTTGTACTTTTTCTTTTCTTCTTCCATGTTGTTGTTGTTGTCGTTTTTTTTTGGTTGTGGTGAATGCATTTTACAACATAGTCGTATGCTCGCTCTCTCTCGCTTCGGGATTGGGGACTCTTGTATCCAGTAGGGAAGAGTTATGTTATGCTCTGTTTAATGTGGGACGGCACAGTGGGTTACAGAGGGTATTCGGGTTGGAAAGTCTGTTTATATTAAGAAGAGGAATTCCATTTAGGGATTGATCAAAAGTTGGTACATCGTAATATTATTGTCAAACTTAGTTTGACTTCGGAGAGGGTCAATATCGGTCCACTGCTTTCGGTACCTCCCCCACAAAATGTCAGCATTTTCCAAGAAAATGATTAACGGCAAAAAGTGAAGGAATAGTCCGATTTTACTCCAACTTTGCGAATCCTAATATTTGCATCAGTGCTAGGTCAAGTGAGAAAATGAACAATATCGGTCCACTCCATCAAGTACCTGCCCCACAAAGGGCCAAAATTTTGAATAATTATGACTCTTCTAAAATGTGATGTAAGTGTCCGATTGTCTTCAAATTACACTCATCACAATATTTTTTATTAACCCAAGGTCTGGTGTGAAGATGGGATATATCGGTCCACTCCTTCTGGTACCTCCCCCACAAAGGGTCAACATTTTGACTACTCATGAAGCTCATAAAACACGAAATAACTATACGATTCGATTCAGACATGGTACATCTTAATATTTCCCTCAACACAAGATCTGTTAGAAAGATGGTAAAGATCGGACCATTCCTTCTGGTACTTCCCCCACAAAGGGTAGAAGTGTTAAAAACCAAAAACAATCATAAAATCCGAAATAAGCCTCTGGTTCTCCTAAAATTGCACTCATCACAATACTTAACCCAAGGTCTGGTGCGAAGATGGAATATATCGGTCCACTCCTTCTGGTACCTCTCCCACAAAGTGTCAAATTTTTGAATATCCACGAAGATCATAAAACGCAAAATTAACTCCCGATTCCATTAAGACTTGGCACATCTCAATATTTCCCTCAACACAAGATCTGTTATAAATATGGTAGAGATTGGACCATTCCTTGTGGTACCTCCCTCACAAGGTGTCGAAGTTTTGAGTAAACAAAACGATCGTAAAATCCGAAATAAGCATCTGGTTCTCTTCATATTTCACGCGTCACAGTATTTTTATTAATCCAAGGTCCGGTGTGAAGATGGAATGTATCGGCCCACTCCTTGTGGTACCTCCCCCACAAAGGGACACAATTTTGAATATCCATGCAGCTCATAAAACGCAAAATTAACATCCGATTCCATTAAGACTTGATACATCTCGATATTTCCATCAACACAAGATCTGTTATAATGATAGTAGCGATCGCACCATTTCTTCTAGTACCTTCCCCACATAGGGTTCAAGATTTTGAAAAACAAAACGCTCTAAGAAAGAGAAATAAACATCCATCTCTCTTGAAATTTTACACATCCAAATATTTTGGCTAAAACGCAAGATCTGTTATGAAGATGATATATCTGCCAACCCCTTTTGGCACCTCACCCACAAAGGGTCAAAAATTTCAATTCTTTTATCTGTCATACCTTGTGAAACTAGTGGGCGATTCTTTACAACTTGCTATATCTAAATATTTCTCTCAACCAGAAATCTGAAATTTATGATTTCGCATAAAATTGGATATAAATGTTCGATTTCTTTCAAAATTTGCACATACCAATATTTTTATCTGAATTAGGTGAAGTATGAAAATGGAATACTTCGGTCATTTTCAAATCATTTCACTAAAGTATGGAAAGTAGTCGATATAGTCCAAATCTGGCACGTTGTAATATTTATATCAGTTTTGGTCAATATTGTCCAACTGCTTCGGAACACCACCACCATGAATTACAGACGTATTTTTTATGTTTTACATTTCTCTACAATGCAAATTCCATTATTACCCACTGTCCCTTTATGTTATTTTTATTAATACCATCTCTCCCTCTCTCTCTTTCATTTTTGAGCATGCACTCCCCTTTAAAACTGGCTTAAAGGTTTCTTAAATGTTATTGACATCAAATGTTGTTGTTTTGTATTTAATTTCTTTTATATTAAATAGACTTGTTTAATAAACAAATTCTGTGTAATAATTTCAAAAATAAAGCAATTTAACTTTGGTCTATTAAATAGTCTTGCCTCTCCATAATATGGCCCGTTTACATAACTCTGTTATGGCTGAGTGCTCTCCTTAGTACGGTTATTTGGTTGTACTCTCTGCTCTGTGGAGAAAATAAACAAACATAAACGTAGGATTTGTTGCTTGCCATAATTATTACTGCCGTTGTTGTTGTTGCAAGTTACTTAATTGTGTTAATTATTCCAGTTTTCGCAGACGGAGGTAGGAAGATAGACATGCGTTTGCGTAGGGTTTTGATGGATCACCACTGGGTGCACCTGCTGTTGTTTACTTTCGCTTTTCAGCTATGACGACGATTGGGATGAAGGGAGAGTTAGAACTGAGTTAAAACTCTTTTTTAAAAGGGTTCACTTGATGTGTTTTTTATCTCACTCTCCCCAATCAGTCATGGATGCAGCTGCGTCTTTTGGATGTTGCTTGAATTTTCACGATCATGGCTTCCAAGTGAAACTACAAACTGGTTTTCTTTTTCATCTCCCAGCTTTAAATGAATCTTTTGTTTTAATGTTTTGTTGATAACTTGGCTGGAGCATGGCTTCATGAATGTGAGAAATATTTTTGTTTGCTTCGCCGGTAGCTAATCACTCTTTGGCATGGAAAATTGGTATATAATTAAATATTCAAAAATAAGAAAAAAATAATAATAATTATAACAGCATGTATTTTATAATTGAAAACAGCTCAGTTTGATTTCAAATTTTAAAACTGGTTTTAATAAAAAAAAAGATATTAAAAAAATTTCCCATTGTAGGGTGTTGTAAACCAATAAAACCCCAGATAATATCACAAGTCATATAACTTTCTTTCCTTTAAGTATATGACATTGCTGTTTCTTTGCCATATGGTCACATTATTTTTGCTTTTTTATTTGTCGAAGTACCAGAAGGAGTAGGCCGATATATTCCATTTTCACACCAGACCTTTGACCAATAAAAATATTGGGATGTGTGTAATTTGAAGACAATCGGATGCTTATTTCGAATTTTATAATCGTTTTGGTTATTCAAAAGGTTGACCCTTTGTGAGGGAGGTACCAGAAGAAATGGTCCGATCTCTACCATATTTATAACAGATCTTGTGTTGATGGAAATATTGAGATGTGCCAAGTCTGTATAAAATCGGATATAAATTTCGCGTTTTATGAGCTTCATGGATATTCAAAATTTTGACCCTTTGCGGGGGAGGTACCAGAAGGAGTGGACCGTTATATCCCATCATCACAGCAGACTTAGGGTTAATTAAAATATTGTGATTTGTGTAATTTGAAGAGAACCAGATGTTTATTTCGGATTTTATGATCGTTTTGGTTATTTAAAAACTTGACCCTTTGTGGGGGAGGTACCAGAAGGAATGGTCCGATCTCTACCATATTTATGGCATATCATGTATTGATGGAAATATTGAGATGTGCCAAGTCTGAAGGGAATCAGATGTTAATTTCGTGTTTTATGAGCTTCATGATTATTCAAAATTTTGACCCTTTGTGGGGGAGGTACCAGAAGCTATTCACATCAGACCTTGGGTTAATAAAAATATTGTGATATGTGTAATTTGAAGACAATCGAACACTTACATCACATTTTATAAGAGCTATAAATATTCTAAATTTTGAACCTTTGTGGCGGAGGTACTTGATGGAGTGGGTCGATATTGTTCATTTTCGCACCTGATCTGGCACTGATGTAAATATTGGGTTTCGCAAAGTTGAAACAAAATTGGATTATCCTTTCTCTTTCTGTGCCGTAAATTATTTTCTTTTAAAATGTTGACATTTTGTGGGGGAGGTATCAGAAGGAGTGGGCCGATATTGGCCTTCTTCGAACTCAAGCTAAGTTTGACAATAATATTACGATGTGCCAACTTTGGATCAAATCGGAAACTCCCTTCGAGAGTTATCGTGTGTACCAACCAGTCAAACAGAAAGGCAGACGGACGCACGGACATCTTTAGATCAACTCCAAATGCCCTGAAATGAATTTGGTCCAAAGAGATCTAATTTTTACTTTATCCCCTTGAAGTGGATAACATTTTCAGCAGTTTATCTTAAGATGGCTAATTATTGTTGCATATCTACATTAAAGTAATACATTGTTTACATTACCCTTTTCATTGTTTTTTATCACCCAAAAGCATCGTTTTTTATTTATTTTTTACCTTATAATTTAAAACATTTTTCTTGCCAAAAAACAATTTTTGTTTGGTCTAACCCACATATTGTGGTATGCGGCCAACAGTTTACTAACCTTGAATCGTATGCAAGGACATGTGAGGCAGAAACCTCATTTCTTTACGCCTTAAATACTGCAACGAATACACACTTGACGTTTACGCGAGAGCAAAGCAAACAAAACGCAACACAACAAAAACAACAACAGCGACGACGACGGTAAATACACATTATTTGTTTGGTGTGTATCCCCAGATGTACGCCAAAAGAAAAGAAAAAAAAAACAATAACTGATGACGTAGGAAACCAACCACGTTGTCTCTCCATCTCTGACAAAGAAGAGAGTACTATTTTCATACTCTCTTCATGCAACTCCACTCAATGGCAGGGGTTTTTTTGAGTTTCTCCATTCTATGCAAATTTGAGAGCACTCACACATCGGTGGTTGTTATCCTTGCCAATTTTTGCTTATTTTTCCTCTTCCGAATTTATATTCTCTTATAGCTTGAGTGTTTTATGATGGTAGGTCATGTTTGGTTACCAAGATTTAAGTTCATTTTATTTTTT